TTTTAGGAGGGATGAGCATTTGTCATTTCATCTACAGAAGCTTGCAAGCACCTGGAGAGGCAGATCTGGGTCTAAATGTCTCCCGCAGGTTCGGGGACACATCCTAGGGGGTAGATACGTATTAGTAGCACATCAGAAATTAAACTCGGCTGCAGCTGCTCAGAAAAAAACTGACTCAGACAAAAGCAAAAAATAATAACAACATTCTGACATTCTGAGTCCCATTTGAAAGAAAAAACTGACTCAGACAAAAGCAAAAAATAATAGCAGCATTCTGACATTCTGAGTCCCATTTGAGAGACAGCCTCTCTCTCTCTCCCTCTCTCTCTCTCTCTCTCTCTCTCTCTCTCTCTCTTTCTCTGTCTCTCTCTCTCTCTCTCTCTCTCTCTGGAGGAGGCACCTTCCTTTCACAGATGCTGCTGTCAGTTCCATGTTTCCAGGCCAGGCCAGTAGATACACCTATTACTCTACTCTTTTTCTTTTTTTAAAGAGTTTATCAAGCATTTTTCACGATCAAATAAGAAAGTGGTCTTTAAAAGAGCTTCCTGAGAGTAAGCTAGGATTGTTATCCCTACTTGACAACTAAAAGTAAATTATTTGAGCCAAAAGGGTAAATGCCAGCTCAGGAAGTGGAAGCAAGGTCTTGGTGAGCCAAGGGGCCTGTCCTTCAGCCTTCCTCCCCCAACACCTTCCTGCATGTGGGCTCAGAGCTGTCCCCTGTACAGCACTGTGTGCAAAGACAACAGACAACAGAGTCTAGCACAGCTGGGCAGCAACTGTGAAACCACTAAAGGGACAGTGAAAGTGGACTACACTGGTTTCCCTTGAGTTGTTGCTTCAGGGTACTGACACTACATCTGATTTTTGGCTTGGCCATGTCTGGGAAAGAAATGGGGCAGGAATGAGGCCCACATCTTCTGGGATTAGGACAATGGTTCATTACTTTCTTCACCTTATAATATATCTCTCTGATCACTCGGGCCCTATTCCACTCCTATCTGCACTAATCCCAAAAGCTATCATCTGCAAGTGGCAGAAAACCAGAGCTGAAGTTCCCACCAGCCCCAAACCATCTCAGGAAATGAAAGCTTGTTCAAAACTTTCACAGCATGGAAGTGCCTGCCTGCAAGAGGACCACTGGAAAGGGTACAGATATCAGAAATCCAAGACAGAAGAGACTATCAAACCATGTAGATTTGCCTTGGAAACATTTGTACAGTTATGCAATTACCCAGTTTCTTGAGAATGTGTATCTCCATCAAAATTAAGAAACCATATCAGCCCAGCCAGCGTGGCTCAGTGATTGAGCGTGAACCTATGAACCAGGAGGTCACAGTTCAATTCCCAGTCAGGGCACATGCCTGAGTTTTGGGCTTGATCCCCAGGGTGGGGCATGCAGGAGGCAGCCAATCGATGATTTTTCCTCATCATTGATGTTTCTCTCCCTCTTCCTCTCTGAAATCAAATAATAAAAATATCCTATATAATAAAAGCCTAGGTGGCGTCGCGCAACGTCACCACAAGATGGCTAGCAGGGGAC